CACTTATGTCTATTTTTGTCACACGTTGTCTATTCTCGACCAATACCACCTGAAGTCGTCGTCATTAGCGAGCGCGACGTCGCACGCGACGCCCAATTGCGCGGCGAGGCCGTCCACGAAAATTAACAATATTTCTTGGCCACAACATACCCGCTGATGTCTTCGCACGGACAGGAAGCTGATTAGACGCCGAAAGGTTAATGGCTATCCTTTGGATAAACTATCTCTGTGAAGAGTCAGATTCGGTGCAGTGGGCGGGGCCTGCACCGAGGTGGGCGGGGCCTGCACCGAGGTGGGCGGAGCCGGGAGAAAAAACCTGTAAAACGCTTTCAGAGCACTCCTTGAAATGACACTGAGCCTACTGGGCACAATTATCGTCTATGTCGGGGAGCGCGCTTTTTTAGCGTCTTTTGCTCAACCCAAAAGGGTGCATTGATAACTTCGTTCTTCAGATAGCTTGAGAGAAGCTGTTCTACACGTAATACAACCTGTGATAAATCGAAGCAGAAATCACCTCTGGTAAGTTGATAGAAAGGCTCATTCTCCTCCCAAAAAATCTAGCACGATAAACACAGATAAAATGGCAGTGTTATATTCGAAACAGTAAAGTACACCACCCACGATCAGCACAAAATAGGACATTTTGTGCAAATATTAATATTTATGACGGGATTTGATCAATCAACGCTTCCTGGTAGCGTCATTGTGGCTCCACGTCCAACGCCATTTGATTCAATTTTATTGATGTGAGCGGCCATTTCCACAGTCGATGGCGCTGCAATAACTCTATCAGCCATGTACTTATTGGAATGAAAGCTTCCTGACCAGTACCGTACAAATGTACGTCGACTGCTTCCATATTCCTCCTCAGAAGGTGATTTCCTACAGCTTTTAAGAGAACATCTTCAAAAATAAGATTCTATATTGCGTTGGCGCATCTGAAACGATGCTGTGGGAGGGCAAAAAAAAACGCGGAAGACCTTGGAAACCATCAGACTTTTGTTCTCTGAGCTAAGTAGAAGTTTTCAGCAGAAAAAGCACATGCTCTCATCGGTCCATTATGGTTAAGGAGCGGGACTTTGGGCGCGGCGAGGTGGGCGGAGCTTGCCGTGCAGGCGGAGCCTTTGCGCAAAAGTCCTGTCCTCGCACCGGTTTCTGATACGATTTTGTCGTGGATGAAATTCACTACTCCTGGTAACCAGAGAAGGTCAACAGGCCAGTCCGACCTTTCTGGAAGAAGTGCTCACGTCTGTGCGCGTCTTGATAAGGCAAATCCAAAACTACCTCCAAAATTTGTGAAACGGTTCTGCGAACGGACTTATGGAGGTTATTCTCACTGGTTTCTCACAAAAGCGCGCTGGCGCCAAAGGGCAGGCGCCTGTAGCGCTCAACGTAACCTTTCGCACAAAACAGGTTTGATATTGGTTTTTCGGGGGTCAAACAACCTCCAGGGACGACACTATAGCAAAAGCTCAGGTTTAGACTCAACCTCGTGAAAATGGCGGTGGGTTAGAGCCGCATGTTCAGCGGCTGACGAGGAAAGTTTCTATTGCGTTAATATGGTGCAAGTAGTCAGGACAGCGAGGCGGTGAGATCGAGTACTAAGTACAAGCCTAATCATGAGATAGAGCTATCCGAGCTTGGTTCGACTTATGATAATGGTCTTGCTTAAAGAACAGATACTCAGGCCTGGCCGACTTCGCATCATCTGCACTATTTCCCGATTACGCGGCGAATAAATCCGATCCGCCACGAGCAGTCATCGATGCTCAGGTGATTTTAGGCTGCGCTTGTTTGTTTCTAAGTCATGAGGCGTTCCATATTTCTGAAAAAGGAATTGGCAAGCTCCTTACATGCAACCAACTCGGCAGTAGTCAACCAGAAGCTCGGTGTTAAAGAAAGTTAAACAGCTCTGTAGCCATCGTTTCCTGAAAAAAAAGCCAAAACTAAGGTGATCACACAGAACTCGATCCCACGACCTCTTCCCTATTTCACCCGCTCACTACCAGTTGCGCTCTACTGCTACCCGCTACTGCATATATGAGGTTCATTTGGCATCTCCTCACATATACCATTTCATTATGAATTCACGGCTTTCCAAGCCAAAATTCACAGCTTTCTGAACCAAATTCATGGCATTTCAAACCAAATTTCAGACTTTAAATGGAATTAGAGACGCCACACTAGACATTACTGCAGCCCTCACCCCAAGCGATGATCACACCCACACTTTGGCGTGATCATGATTCTTGAATGTATTCTATACCTTTTGACCTTTTGCACTCTCTTATTCTGCCCACATTCACTAATTGAAAAGGTTGTACATCGACACCCAGCGACTCCGCCCGACTTTTCTCAACCTCCTTAATTTCACATTCGCTCTTCATACAACAAAGGCTTCCATAGACGCGCACTGAGACTTTAAGCTCCCCCACCCCTTTAGGCATGCTTACCTTTACACCTTTTGCGAAATTTTGATCTTTTTTTAAAATTTTCACATTGTCGGACTTCTACGGGAGGCTTCGCTTACTATGAAAAGTTCTGCCCTTTTCGCAGAAGCCCCTCCCATTTTCGAAAAAGCCTTGAATGAGCAGTTTGTAACCTCAATTTGGGGGACAAAAATTAAATTAAAAGTCTGTCACGAGAAAAGAAAAAAACAAGTTAGGAACGAAACCCGTATGTTTTTCGTTTTACTCGTTCACAGTGACGAGCAAACTCTGAGCTACAAGCTGAGGCTATAACCTGTTAATGTGAGGCGATTTTCAAAAGTGGGAGGGCTTCTACGACGTGGGCGGAATCTCTCACAGTGGGCGGAGCTCCCAGTAGAAGTCGGAAGATGAAAATTCCAAAGAAAACCACAATTTCGCAAAAGATGCAAAAGTAGACGCGGCTAGAGGGGCGGAACTTGATGTGTCAGTGCATAAATAGTGTTTGAAAACCTTCGTCGTGTGAAGAGCGAACGCGAAGTTAAAGAGCTTGAAAAAAGTATGAGAATTTTAAATTGAAAGTTAGGCGGAGTCGCCCTTGTGTCGATGTAACCCTTTCCCATTAATGTGTATGTGTGAAAGAAGAAAAGTGCAAAAAAGTCACAGAAGCAGAAGTTAAAAAATTTCATAGATCATGACCACGCCAAGATGTGGGCGTGCTGTGAAGGGCCTATAGTGGTATTTAGTGTGGCATGTTTAACGAATTCTTGAAATCAATTCGAAAAACCCTTGAATTTGTTTCCAAAAGCCGTGAATTAGGTTTGAAAAGTCACGAATTTGGTTTGAAAAAACGTGATTTCAAAATGAAAATGGTATACGTAAACACGCTTCCATGAGATAGTATGCTGAATACTGAACAACGGTACGGGAAGAGAACCCTCCGACTTCATTTGAAGAGTCGCTTCGCAGACTAGAAGGAAGCATTCGGACTCAGCGTTCCAAGACCGCGTATTCGTTTACGTCAGACCTGCAAATGGCCTGACGTGTTGACCTTCACTGACAAGCTTTTTCTCTCCGAGCTTTCGAAGGTCCTACCACCTTCTCAATGCTTTCAATAGCTTTGCGAGAACGCAGCTCAAGATCCAAGGACCGAAACTGAAAGCAAATCTCTTCTGAAGGATATACTTCGGCAAAGCTATTAAAACTCTGTTAACGGTGCTTCGGCTACGGGCATCTCGATCGAAATCTGCGTGAAAACTTAGGACTCTCATGTTGTTAAAATTGAGAAAAAAGCAACATTAAAGTACGTTTTGTCAAATATATGCTAGAGAGACGACAACTTGTCTTCAGATGAGAAGAAACGATTTATCGAAGTTTTTTCTTCTGCAGTTACACGTCAATGCAGTGCTCATTGTCGGCATACCTGGAATCACAACGATTTCAACGGAATTAAACAAAGGTAAACAGGTGTCTTTTGCCCATTTACTGGCACAACTTTTGGGCCCTATGTCACCCCGTTACTGCCCAACCATCCGACAGATCAGGCCCAGTCCTGCAACCGACTTTTTTCCCGGTGGGCAATAAGTACTGATAGAGACTTTGGCTCCAGAGGTAGTTCGACTGTGCTAACACGAATATCGCATCCGCTTAACCCGAAACCTCCTGGCGCCCGCGCCACGGGCGCCGGCGCCAAAATACTCGAAATCACCAAATTCGCTGAAAACTTGCTCCCAGGGGTAGTTTGACCCCCTGAACACGAATATCACATCCGCTCAACCCGAAACCTCCTGGCGCCCGCACCACGGGCACCGGCGCCAAAATACCCCAAATCATTGGCGCCTGTGGCGCGGGCGCCAGGAAGTTTCGGGCTGAGCGAATGTGATATTCGTATTCTGGAGGTCAAACTACCCCAGGAGACAACATTCGAGCAAAATCTGCCCACGGAGAAAAAAAATCGGTCAGGAACTGGCCTGATTTCGGATGACTGGGGCAGTAAAAGGGTAAATAGTTGCTCACTTTTAAAATTGAACGGGCATCCTCTTCAAGCTCGTTGGCGACGACAGTACGCGACAAATTTAAGCGAGTCATCTTGAAAGCGTATTACTGTCAATTGTTGTGCATGGTAAGCCAAGAAACTCCAGGACAGATAAGAGGACAAGCCGCTGCCAAAAGCATCAGATGTGCAGAGCCTTTTCAAGGGGAAAGGGAACTCCCGAAGTGCGAGACTGTTAACGATAGCACGGTTACAAATTACAATTTGGTCTGGGGCTGGCGAGGCGCAGCGCGGCGTGAGTCCGCCTGCAATTGCCCTGCTCTACCAATGGCGATCGGGAAAAGATTAATTCAGGAGGAAAACGACCATTGGTGGCAATGCCGCAGGTCATCGACCAACTTACTGCGACCTGACTCTGTATGGCGGTGATTATCAACTGCAACGTGAAAAGTGATACTCCCAGCGGAATCGCCATGTGCGGATGCCTGACCATGGAGCGCCACGCGCGGACGACGAGAGAGAGAGACGGAGCAGAGAGAAAAACATAAAACTCGACGCGTTCAAAAGGATTCAAGGGTTGAATGTCCAGGTGTCCCGTAAGACCGTCATCCGCCATGCCGGTTCGGCGCCGATAGCTTTCGCGGCAGGGACTATGAGGGAATTTCAAGGGAGCCGCACAACTAGCAGCATAACTAAGTTTAAGACACATGGTACGGCTCATACACATTGAGGGTGTTTATGAGACTCATCAGCCCAGATGTCGATGTGTCGTGGTCCTCCCGCCCAAACATGCCCAGGAATGGAGATACAGGGCCGTGAAACACGCTAATTCCTCCATGCTCCGCCCACTGCCTTTTTACGGCGCAGATTCCCGCCGTTCATAACATCCGTCGTAAGCGCGCCTGTCGCGTGCGGCTCCTTGGCACTTTGCCAAGTCCTTTAATTGCGCTCTCAAATACAAGTAAAACGCAATTTCCCTGATGCGGATAACATTGGAGGTGCTACAAAATAAGAACAGAAGATGATGACGAGGGCCAGAACTCAAGAGCAACTCGGCTCGGCTGCATCTGCAGTATCCATCAAGGGCCGCGCGCATTCCACAAACATGAAAATAAAACAGCCTAAGCGTCTCACAAGCGTCCCACTCGTTTGTTCTAAGTATTTCTATGGCTTTGGCGCCGGATCGTAGAAATTTACAGGCCAGTTTATCTAATTTGCCTTTCCTTGATTTTTTCATTTTTGTTTTGTTTACATTTACATCGTTGTGCTCCTGTGTCATCTTTCATCTCCTTGTACATGGATTTTGAAGCATGAGGAAAAACTCGAATTTTATTCGCATCAGGAAATTGCGTCTTGCTTGTATTAAATTGACGACGTATGCCGTTTTTTACTTTTCATAGTTTCGCTGGAAATGACGTGGCTCGAGGGATGTTGCAGAAGTGGCACAGTTGCTTTTAAGTTCTGACCCTCGTCATCATCTTCTGTTCTTACTTTGCAGCACTTCCAGTGTTATCCGCATCAGGAAATTGCGTTTTCCTCGTATTTGAGAGCGCAATTAAAGGACTTGGCAAAGTGCCAAGGAGCCGCACGCGACAGGCGCGCTTACGACGGATGTTATGAACGGCGGGAATCTGCGCCGTAAAAAGGCAGTGGGCGGAGCATGGAGGAATTAGCGTGTTTCACGGCCCTGTATCTCCATTCCTGGGCATGTTTGGGCGGGGGGACCACGACACATCGACATCTGGGGGGCTGATAGTCTCATACACCCTCAATGTGTATGAGCGTACTATGTGTCTTTAAGCTGCTTCGCCTAATGACGAGAACAGCAGAACCTCTCTCAAGTGCAAATTATTAGATTGATGGGAAAGTAATCGAATCGATATTCAAAGGCATTTGGAGCATGATGATATGGTTTCTTGCAGTAAACGGGACAAAAATGCCCTAAATAGGGCCTCTATGAGCTTCAATCAGAAAGTGGACGCCTAAAGTAAATATCATGTCCATGTAGCTTTGTGGCTACTGAGCAAATTGCTTATTTTATAGTAGAGCTCAACAAATTATTAGTCAAAAGGGCGTAGCATCGTTCATGCTGAACATAAATGAGCTGATTTTCAGGTGCTATTTGGACAGAGACAGCAACGTTTGTCCATCAAACTTCTCACAACACTCCGGACGATGGTCAAAGTGATACTGCCTCCTACGACAGGTTTTTGCTTGCCTACATTCTCGCACATTTCTTTTTTATTTCGCGACAGCTAGCAAACAAGGTGTAAAAGGGGAAGGAAATAGTTTCAGTATTTTTATATCATTCGATATCTTAATATTTTGCTCTTGCCATTGTCTATGAGGCCAGCAGCGAAGTAACATTTACCAGAAGACTTAATTAAGAAAGAAAGCAACATACTGTCCAAATGTTTTCTTTAGTTTTGCCATATGAT